AATTGATTTAAAAAAGAATTTTATTTAAAACTTTAGAAAATAATTAGAAGTGTTAAAGTAGAATCCTTTAGAAATAATTAAATTTCAAAAAGTTTTTAAATTTTAATCTTTGAAATTCAAATTGCTGTAAAAGCATTACAACTTTTAAATATAAAAAATTCTTAAATTGTTAGCTTTCTTCAAAATTAAAAGTTTTGAATAATATTATTCTAAAACTCTAAAAAATAATTGAATTTTGAAAGACTCGCAGTTCAAATTTTCATAAAAAATGTTTCCGATGGTTTTACATTGAAAGTATTTCGAAATTTTAAGCAAATAAATAACAATAAGTAGGTATTTAAATATTTATTTTACAAAAATGATTGAAATTTGAAGGATTTAATTCGAAAATTCTGAAAAATTAGATTTTTCACAAATAATAATTAAATTTTTTTGAAGATATACTCGAATTCCCGAAAATAATTTTAAAAAAATGAAACAATTAGAAATTTTATAAAATTTTATACTTTAAGGAATTTTATTTTTTCATCTTTAAAAATTATCTACAAATATAATTGTATTTTTAAAAATACACTATTTTATGAATATATACAAAGATTATATTCTATTTAAAATTTAAATAATTCAATTCTCGTCGATGAATTCTGATAGCAAATAATTAAAAAAAAATTTCAAAGGAAGGAATTTTAGGAATTAATTAAATTTTAAAAGGCTTTAAAATTAAATTCCTTAAAATATTAAGGGAAGCAAAAGTATAAAATTTTTAAAATTTTTATTTAAAAAAATATTAATTACATTATCAATATCAATTAAATGGTATTTGCTTCAGATACTCAAATTATTGGTTCAAATACCATTTAATTGACGCCAATAAATATTATTTGATTCAAGTAAATATTTAATTGATAATAATCAATTAATCCGTTATTTGAATCAAATAAATTTTTGTTCAGTGTACAGTTGTTAAAAAATTAGTGAGATCGTAAAAACGAGTCGAGTGAAAAATAATGTTGAGAAAGCATGATCGATGAAAGGTAAAAACTATTTATATACAGACACATATATGCATTGTAATTAAAATTGAAATTAATTTATTGATTAATTGGAAATGACATATGTCATTGGCTTTGGGAATAATAAATTTACCTTTAAAAAATGCAAATGCAATTGTTGAAAATATGTTAAATATGAATATTTAGAAAATGTGATGAAATGATCTCAAAGTTGGTCGTTATAATTCATCCAAGTGAAAAATTTTTAAAGATGTGATCTAGTTTAGAACTTTATCATATAGAAACGTGTAATTCGCTCAAAAAGATTTATCTTGGGGAAGTGTGTGTATGTATGTATGTATGTATGATCGTTTTTTAAGAGGAAATTCGAGAGTGCGAGATGAGGGCAGAGAGAAAGAATGAGGAGAGGGGAGTAGGGGGGGGGGGGACAAAAGCTGCAGGCGCATCAAGAGTGGGAAGCGAATAATTTTTGAGAAAATACATTTTTCCCGCAGGATCTCCCATTCGTTCTCCGGTCCGCTGCTTCCTACTGGTTCCTACGACACCACTCGTTCTCTGTGAAAAAGGATAAAGAGGCTTCGGATTCCCAGCAATTTTTTATCTAAATGCTTTCGTCCTCGTGGTAAACTGGATAAAACCGAAAATAGTTTGCATCCGGAGAGTGTCATTTTTTCCGGTACATTAGTGAGAATAAAGACGAAAGAATATGGTTATTTTTCCGTGAAAGAAAGTAAGATCTATATATATATGTCTGGAAATATCAATATATTGAGTATAGAAAATAAGTTTTTAATTTTTGTTAAAAAGAAACGAGCATTACAAACTCTTGTTTAAATGTCGCACATATATAAAAAAACTTAGCTTTAAACTCACTGTGAACTCGTATAAAATTTCATGTTATTCTATACGGGAATTTTACGGCAAGAAATCTGAAGCTAACATTTTCAATATTTAGTGGTGCCATGCCAATGCAGTGTGGAACAGTAGATACTATCGAAAATGGTTTTACGACTCAAGTACGATGAGAGTATTGGGTGAGAAACAAGAAGAGAACAAAGAAGGGAAAATGGAAAATTGGTTACCCAATATCACTGCAATCACACAAGAAACAGTATATGCTGGGGAATATAATAATTTTCAGAACCATATTACTGTATATCAAATTATCAAGTATCCGAGTTTCTTTAGAGAAATCTTTAAATTAGTCTATAGTCTTTGAAAAAACAAAAGAATTATTAAATGGCAAGGAAGTTTTGTTCGTTTCACGTTTCTTCCACGTTTCTTCCAGAAGAGAAAGAAAGTGTTCGTCTTTCTCTTCACGCTCGATGCCAAGATGAACTGTGCTATCTTTCCATTTCGTGCGAACAATGACTTGAAAAAATAATAAAAACCCATCCAAACGTTTAGGCGTTTGGGTACTTAGTGACCATGGCAACGGCACCCAACTATTTTTCACTTTTTTATAGATATATGCCATTGTCCATGTAGTAAATTTATTTCTCTCTTTTCTTTCATTCTCTCTTTTTTCTTCTTACCTACCTTTTATTTTTATGCCCTCGGTCTCTCTGTACTTTCTACACTATATATTTTTCACTTTCTTTATGTTTATCTTATTGTTTTCGCTTGTATGCTACAGAACATGAAGAAATTTCTATAAAAATTTATTATATTTTTCAATAACCATTGTGATGAATGCTTTTGAAAGTGAAAAAGGTACAATCGTATCAGAAAATGTGATAGTTTGGAGAGATTACATATATGTGTCAACATCTACTTGAAAACTTCTTACTGCGAGGTGATAATATTATTATTAGTAATACAGTGGAACCTCGATTAAAAGTAATGAACTAAAAATCATTGGGTTCGATTCTTGCAAAGTATTTATCAAAAATTTGAAAATAATTGAATTCATGGCAAAATTTTTATTAAAATTCTTTAAAATAATTAAATTGTTTTGAAGAATTTATTTCAATTTTCTTGAAAATAATGGAGTTTTTTTATTAATAATTTTTACTGAAAATTTTGAAAGTAATTGAATTTCTTAAAAATAATGTAATTTTTTAAAATAATTTTAATTGAAAATTTTTAAAATAATTGAAATTTACAAAGAATTATATTAAAAGCTTTTGAGAATAATAATTGAATTGTTTAGAAAAATTTTATTACAATTTTTAAAAATAATTTAACCTGTTAGAGAAACTTTTTAAAATTATCTTGAATATAATTTAATTTTTTTTTTTTAACAATTGAATTTTTATTAAAATTTTATCTGAATTTTTGAAAATAATTGAATTTCTTGAAGGAATTTTATTAAAAAATTTGAAAATAATGACTTTTTTAAAGGAATTTTATCAAAATTGTCGAAAATAATTGAAATCATATTAAAATTCTTAAAAATAATCGAATTTAATTAATATTTTAAAAATCATTTGTATTCTTTCGAGAAATTGTATTAAAATTGTATTGAAAATAATTGAATTGCTCTAAAAAATATTATTGTTTATGAGAATAATGAAATGCTTGCAAAAAATTATTGAATAATAATAAACAAGAATATTTAATATTGTGTGCTTAATACGTGAATTTTTAAAATTTTGAATCTGTAATGATTTAATAAAACAGAGAATTCATGATTTTTAATGATTTTTAATGATTTTCACTCTACGTATAAAAATGTACAGAAGATTATAATACGTCACAGAGGCTCAAGTTCCAGTGATCAGCAATGATTAATGACCTTATTTATTTGAGTATTTACAAACATCACTATACTTAAGATTACTTTATTGTATGAAAAGTAGGTTCCCAAATGAATATTCCTCCGTTCTTTCTATGTCACTTTCTGTGAAATATCGTGACAGTTTGAAGCTTTTCTTTTTTCGTTTATACTGACGCGTTTCCATTTACATTTTCCAGTCTTCTTATATATCCTTCTTTCTTGAAAGAAACTTGAAGCGAAAGTCGTGCGTTTGTGCACTTTGGCGGGATAAAGGCACTTTTCTGAGGTTCGACAAGTCGACGGAAATTTGATACACATTTTTCAAAAATATAACCCACCAAATGACCATAAAAAGAAAGATATAAGCATACAGTAGCAATTTTAATTACATTGCAGGCATATAGATATGCTGGTAAGGTATTATTTACTCTTATCAGTGTCAAAAAATAAAAAAAGTAACTGTGCATTAATATATTTCGTTGACTGACATCGCAACCTCTCGCATAGTGAACTTATCTATCATTCATGACATGTCAGAATGGGATTAAGGATAAGTAACTGTCATGGCATTCATATTCATTTGAAATGAAAGTGTTAGTAAAAAGCATATAAAAACGTTAGAGTAGCTTATATAATTCTGACGCTAAATCCTTGTTTATTTTTTTGACTCTTCTTGTAGAATGTGTCTGCAATCTATATTTACTTGAACTGAAATATAATTTAGAACGTGCAGAAATGCGCGTACAATGTGTGTTTAATAAATATGCAGTTTCTATCGGACAAGAGCCTTTGCTATAGTGATATTCTCTGTATACATATCCATCCTGTATATATTTACCCTATTGCTATATGTAAAGATGGTAATACATTTTGGATGTTTATTAAGTTTCGGCGTACTTGCACGAGTCATTCTCTGGAATTTCGCATTATTAAATTTGTTCTTGAATTATAGTATAAATTAGAATGTCATTCCATATACATATTTCGAGATATATTTTCATTTTCCGTTTCATGTGTTTTTATTTTCCGCAGTTACCTCAATAATTTATACCTTATATCAGTTTGATTTTCCATTTCATATTGTTTATTCTTGGCTAGGAATTAACCCAAAAATGTCAATTTAAAAACATGAAGGTATCAAATTAGTCAGAAATCGCTTCGACGCTTATTTATTTTTTCATATCTTATACATATAAATATAACATTTGAAATCGATACCCATAAAATTTATTTATTTATTTATTTATTTTACACTTCCTTTGTTTCAGGTAAGGATCTAAATTTCGCCAGTAATAATGCGGGTGAGTGTTATTTCTCTAACAATTACTTACCTTATTTACCGTTTAATCTTGCACAGAGATAACACAATTGTTTATACCAAAGCTTACAATTCATTATTCAAGTTTAGTTTCATTATTATAAATGATAAAAATTTACTTTTTTGGATTTCAAGTATAAACAATTTCGTTTTTTCTGATATATTTTATTGTACGGTCTTTAACTTACTAACTATTGCCAAGTCAATTAAAAAATACTTAATGCTAAATAATTTTGTGTGAAGAAGAAAAATTGTGTGTTTACTCGTGAATTAACACTCTATATCTGCATGAGCTACTTTTTTGAGTTTGTGTTCCTTTTATGTTTACTAAAAAGAAGTTTGGTTTAATTGCCAAAATAGTGTAAAAATGAGTTTTTTTAAATATAATTTTCATTATATTTAAATAAACTGTTAATTTAATTTTTACAGATGCGTAAAAAGACAATTTTATGGTAAAATGTCTGCCCGCGTTGATTTTATGAAAAGCAGTGACATTGCTACCCGTTTTTTTGTTTGAAAGCAATGCATTTAAATTATTTATAATGGGATTGTTCTTTAATTTAAAATGTAAAACCCAACTGCGAAATTAGAAATGGCATTATTGTGATGCAACTCGACTCGCTATTCAGATTTGAATTAATTGCCAATTTAGAGTCGATGTTGTGCAGTTTTGAATTTCTTTACGGACTGCGACTTTAATAGCTTTAAAAATGTAGATTCAACTTTTTTGATAAAAATTTTTAAAAATATATCGTTGAATTTAACCTGCGCTGAAAATAATTTATTTATGAATAACATTTATATATTTTATGAAAATTGATTTAAATGAAAATTGAAAATCAATAAGTCGAAAAGAACACCAGCTTAAACTGAGTATAATGCAACGATTCAAGAAATTTACAGTCAGACCGTCTGATTTCAGTAGTCGAGCCAGCACAGTGATACATTAACGTTTTGGTCAGACAAATAACAGCTCACGATCGTAGAAGAAAACTGAGCTTCTGTTTGAAAAGCATAGAATTAATTACTTTTTATTATTACATCAGTAAAGCTAAAGTTTAAGTGGTCCACAAAAAATTAAATTTTAAATAAAATATACGTCTCTCATTTTCCGTGCTTCTGAACTTGAGTCGTAGTCATTTTCTTGTGTTAAATCAAATTTCTTCTTTCTTCATTGTCTATAAATTGAATCTCAATAACAATATAAAGAGCCGTTTCGCTGTTGTTGAATGTTTCTAATCTTTCTTTATCTCTATCTGTATATTATATTATTATCTACCTTTCCAAATAAGCAAGTTTTGAGAATTTCAACAATTTATTTAATTTCTCTTTTACAAATTACATTATTATCTAAATATGAAATTTAACATTTTTGCTCAACTTTACATTAATAAATGTATAAATATGCATGGGTTGCTATTGTGTACTAAAAATGATTAAAGGTTTTTATGCAACAAGTTTTCTACGATTCTGAGTGGGAACGATTTAAAAATATTAATATTGCAAGTCATAAAAATGCTTCCTAAAGCCAGAAGTAGTTTTCCGGCATCAAACACGGGAATATAGACGTAATCCATTTGTTAGGTCAGTCAAATCGCAATTCCGTGACTTCTTTTTTTCCGATAAATCATTTAGAGGATTCTTGACCTTTTTATACCGATTTTAAACAGAAATTGAGCTCTTTCATTTCATACAGTTTCAAGTTAGATATTTGCTTCCTCTAATTTGTTTGCTTTTGTTCTGCTTTCTCTTTTTCTTCTGGCAAGTTATTAGATTTGTAGATCTAGATAAATAGGGTGTTAATTTTGTAGTTTTGCGAAAAACCTTTATTAAGATTTATGTCGAAGGGTGCACTATCCTAATACACTTAACACCTTTGTACATGCGACGTACACTTGGACAAAGAAAATCAATAGTTTATTATTTCCGTTAAGACTCTCAATGCATATGTATAGAGTTATCGTCTCTCCTTTCCATGTCGTCCTCTTTTCACTCTCTTTAATTTACATTCATCTATCAAACCTGAATTTGTGATCTGACTTCCGCTGCCTTATGGCTTAATTGGTTATTGCATCTTTTATAAAAAGTTGATTATTGGAAAAATGTGAAAAGTCAAATGAAATGTTTATGATTATCGTTTTTTGAACGATTTTAACATTTAACGTATTCAATGAATTGTTGACTTTTCATCTGGTCAATTTTTTTTTAATCCGATAACCTTTTATCCCCACTCTTTTGAGAAACCTTTATTTTGCAACCTTTATTATAACAAAACCACGTTGAAGAGGCCGTCTATATGTATAATGGACGAACTTTCCATTGTCTCGACTTGATAATATTGTTCAATGATTGATGGCATCAAAGTATGTGCAAAGAAAAAGTTGTCAGCAATTAAAAAGTGCGAGACATATAATCGTGCAAACCAATTCGATTTCTTTCTTAAAATATAGTACTTTTAATGTAACAAGTAGGTTTAAAGTTCTTTTTCATTTTTTTAAGTGCGTACTGAATTATAGAGCGTATAAGAAAATTCTGCACCAAGCATATTAATTTTCAAGTTTGCCCATCAACATTTCTGTTTTCTGATAATATGCCACAAGAAGGGCATTTCTTACATTTGCCTAAAGTTTATCGCGAACTTACCACAAAACTTTTTGAGAAATGTTACTGCTACATCTAAGATGCTTGCACTATTTACAGGTCAATAATTTAAAAAAGAAAAATAATTTTTAATTTTTTGTTTTTCTGCTCATCTACAGCAGAGAAAAGATAAAAATTCATTTTCGTTTCTGCTTTTTAACATTATTATTATTTATTATTAAAATTCATATTTCTCTTTCTGTAAACACAAGACGAGCTCAAAGCTAAACAGTGAACTCATCAAGCTACCTTTCAGTTTTGACAAGAAATTTCACAACTGTTCCAACTGTTCACAACTGTTCACAACTGACTACTGCGAAATGAGTATTTCTTAATAATGAAAATAGAAGAGAAAAATACAAATAGCATATGAGAGGTTGAAGAGGTTGAAAATAAGCAAGCAAGAGTCAATTAAAATTAATAATTGCATTTTAGAGGCAAACAAAAGGCAGTTATGATAATGTTGTCCAATTAACTTACAGGGTTAATACTGATTTCAGCTAATTAGTGTTGAATATGATATAACAGTGGGTGCTTCAAACTGTTGGTTAACTAGCAAATGCTTGATTTATCGTGAAAGTTTGTTTTAACCTCACTCAATGAAAATGGCAATTGCTAAAATTATCTCAGATACTCACTTCTATAATAATCGAAGAGGGGATTAGAAGAGAGGTTCAATTACAGGTTGCTTTACTTGCTTGACGCCTCTTTGTTCCGTCTCCAACTGTGTTTGCGTTTAATGTCAAGATGAGTAAGCTGAAGCGATAGTTTGCTTTAGTTCACTAATCTAAAGACGACCCAGAGTTCAAACTTCGTCATCTTAACTTACACATCCATAACCACATATAGTATACATCAGACTCTGCAAATGCTTTCAGTCTTGTCGTAAATCTGTTTACCCACGTTTTAGAAATGTTCTGGCTAATTAACTTACTTTCATGAGTTTCATGTCAATGTTTGTAAAAGTAAGTTGGAAAAATATACTTTTCCTGATGAGAAGTGGTAATGATAACATTCACAAAAATGGACAGAGCATTTTTTAAAGCTTCATTCGCTCACAATTATGTCTTTATTCCATTTTGAGTATCAAATTGAAACACATTTATGAAAGCTCTAATGGAATTAAAACTTTCACGAGGTTGCATTGCGCATGTTTGAATACACAATGTTGCGGATATTCTTCTCGGGGTAGTTAATTGAACGGCATTTTCGGCGTACTCTGCAAAGTGTGTATACAGAACAGGGGCATATGCAACGCATTGTTGCTGGCCGCAGAAACGCGGAGACGTCAATAATGCAGTAGTCGTTCAATTGCGGACCGAGTTTAATTAAGATCGACACCAACTATATCCATGTAGAGCAGCTGTGATTCCATTTTCCATGGTTTTCTCGCAGGACAAGGACATTAGGTCTATTTTGAGTACTGAGAAAATTGGAACACCTACTATAACAATTGAGAGGAAATAGAGGTCGTAATTGAATTTTCCTATCTCTGGCTGGATGCAAAAATCCTAAAAGTCCTTTGGGACGAGGAATGGGGAAATTGAATATTAATTTGAAAGCAAGTCGAATTAGTGGAGATTCATTTTGATTTAGAATTTCTGTCTGTTTTGAATGTATCAGTTTCGAACACGGGAAAAATGAGAAATTGAAAATATCAAGTCGCCGGACAATGGTGACATGGAAGTATTATAATCTTGGATGCGAAGTGCAGTTCGCAACTTTCTCAATCAGATGACTTTCTCTGAAGCGTGTTTCATGCAAATACAATTTCCAGCCTGACCTATGCTGACCGACGGGGGATACATGTCTGGATGCCTGAAAGGATGGTGCATTTGGCACTCCTACACATACAAATATTCTACTCGAGCTGCTTGAAATTCACTCGATGCACTATTCGTCCTAGCTCGTTCCGGCATCCTGAAGCCGAAATTGAAAATCCGATTTTCCCACCTACACTGTTAGAAAACGGACTGCAACTTTACACCAGAAAAATTTTTAAATTTGTACTTTCAATCTTTAAAAGTGTGAAGTGGGGTCCTCAATAGGATAATGCAAGCTTAGCTTAACATTTATTTTGTATTGCTTACCTATGCAACAAAATCCTAATCTTCGTTTCGATCAGTTTAGATGATATTCGTTTATTCAATATTCAAAGGCAATAAGAGTTGATGAGATAAACTTATTTGATAGAGTTTTTAAGAGATGGAACATTTTTATTTATAATAACAACTTTATAATTAAATGTAAATGAAAACTGATAATATTAATATTATTATCATTTATTATTATTCAACTAATGTGAAATGATATTTTTTTATTCACAAGTGTAAAGTCTCTTGA